GGCCCTGGGTGTTAGGGGTGTGAGAGCTGGGTGACCCTGGTGAGGGGGCGGGAGGTTGGGTTGTCCCTGGGTGGGGTAAGGGAGACGGTGTGTGAGGTGGGCTGGCTCTGAGTAGGGAAATGTGGGGTCTGGGGGCGGGGCCCTCATCAACCCCTCTGCCTGGCTCTCATTCATTCGTTCTGTGTTCTCCAAGCCTTGGTGGTCTAAATAGTGGAGAAAGGACCAAATATTGTCTGCCTTTAATGTTTTATGGGGCTGAAAAAGTAAGTGGCAAATCCACTCAACAGGCCAGACAACAATTCCCTGAAGTCTGTCTCAGTGAAGACAGGACTGGAGATAGATGTAGGCCTCACCTTGGTCCGGCTGCCCAGTCTTGGCCTTCTCAATGGTCCACGCAGCTGCTGGGTGGGGGTTTGGGGTGTTGTCCCCCGGCTACAGGGAGTGGCTTCTTGGGTGGAAACTCACGCTCGGGAAGTCACCTTCTGTGCTGAGCCCTGGGCGCATCCGCCGAGGGTCCCTCCCACGTGGCTCCAGGAACTCTCAGCAGCTTCGGCTCAAGCAGGGTCTCCCTCTGAGCCCTGCTGCCTGCTGCCCTCCTCCCGTGCCAGCCCTTCCTGTGCCCACCGTGGGCACCACCCACGACCTTGCTTTCCTCCATCCATCTTGGTACACACTTGGGTTCTCACTTGTCTGAGGGAGAAAGAGGGGGAAGGGGGGCGAGACTCAGGCGTGAAAGGCTGTTTGACATCACAGAAGGGTCGCTTTACTTAAAAGAAGAGAGACTTTTATCTTGAGATGCGGTTTCCACATCCCATTTTAAGGCTCCTGTCCTTCTTCCTAAGACCCTGTTCTGTCTGGGACTGACCGAGTGAGGACGCAGCGGTCAGCTTCCTGTAGGCGGCAGAGGATGCAGTGCCACAGTGCGTGGAGATAGCCAGCACCGTTTCTGGACTTGGGGGCGGGGAGGGGCTTCCTGATGTGCTTTTGGGGCTTCGCCGGGCCCAGCATTGATGACCACTCTGTTATTCATCTAAGTCTGCGTGAATAGAGAAAGGACATGGAGACGGGAGAGGAACAGAACTGGGGACAGACGGGAGAGGCAGCTCAGAGGGCAGCGCTGTCACGTGTGGATGCTGAGTGGAAGTGTCTTGAACTTACAGAATAGCACCTTGTCCGGGGTTGGGGCCTCCCCAGCACCTCATCTGGGGTTCGGGGCTCTCCACTTCCGAGGACCTGCCCTATCACCCCTGACTCTGTCCCTCTGTCTCTGTCTCCGTCTCCCCTGCCCTCCCCACTAGCTGACCCATTGCAAATCCGAGGCACACAGCCATCCCTGCCCAGCTGGGGAACCAGGGCAGGGGCTTACCTTACGCCATGCCCCAAAGTCCAGACCAGCCAGTCTTCACTCCCAGCACGCCCCTCCGAGCCCCTCCCGCCTGTCCTCTGTGCCCCAGCATTTCTCTAGGGAAGCCGTCCGTCCGCTTGACCAGCCAACCTGACTGTGTGTTGGTTTTGGTTCTTCACTGCTCCTGCCCTGGCGAAGGCCGCCCCCTACTCCTTAAACCACCACATGTCGCCCCAAGTGCAGTCCTGGAATTGGCCTCTGGGCATTTGGACTTGCTGTCCTGTCACTGAGCTGTTTAACAAACCACAGGGCCATGGGGCTCTGATAGGAAAACCATCCTCTGTGGGTAGTTAGGAACCCCTAGGTTATGGAAGGAAACGTGCCGTGCCCCGAGGGTGGGGGGCACAAAAGAGCCCCTGGACACACTGCAATGGAGGCGCTAACGCCTCCGGTTCTGACCATGAGCACCTTCAGCCGCTGGGGACTGTCTGCCGGCGCACTGTGGAAGCTGGGTGCTCACGGACTGTGCACTGGGCACCAGGCAGGGCACGGGGGTGCCCTCACAGGCTGCTTCTCCATCCTCAGGCCCAGCTGAGACGCACCATCAGCCATAGACCTTATGAGGCTCACTCCCCAAGAGGCAGAACGAGAGGCCCTCCCTCCCACGTGGAAACATGAGTCACCCCCTTAGGTGTTCCAGCTCCATTACGCATTTCATCAGGTCGCAGGAGGAAATGTCTGACCTGCATAAACACGGTCAGCACCGTAAACAGACAGACACACCGAATCACCACAATGACGAACACACTTTATTATCTGTGTGCCCTCGGCCAGTCACGAAAACACTGATACGGCGGGATCAGATCCGCTTCTGTTGCCTCTGCGGCCTCTCTGCCTGTGTTGTCTTACGTCTTCCCGGAGGGACTCCTCTCCGGGCTTTGCAGTCTATCTAATGGACTGAATTTCTTCTAGTTTAAGAGTTCTCCATCGGATCCGGATTTGTCTCTTCCTTTCCAATTTTTTTTTTTTTTTTGAGACAGAGTCTCACTGTTGTCTCCCACGGTGGAGAGCCGTGGTGTGATCTCGGCTCACTGCATCCGCTAACACCCAGGTTCAAGCGCTTCTCCTGCCTCAGCCTCCTGAGCAGCTGGGATTACAGGCGTGCACCACCATGCCCAGCGAATTCTTGGATTTTTAGTAGAGAGGGGGTTTCACACGTTGTTCAGACTAGTCTTGAACTCCTGACCTCGGGTGATCCGCCCGCCTCGGCCTCCCACAGTGCGGGGATTACAGGCGTGAGCTGCCGCGCCCGGCCCCTTTCCAGTATTTTAAATCCGTTTCCCGTTTCCTCATCGCCTCGGCCAGGTCCCACTTGGTGGCAGCGTCCAGCCTGCTCCTGACGCCGGGAGACTGTTTCTGCCATACCTTCTGCACACTTCCGGCAGCCGTCCTCTACCGAAGGAGGAAACGCCCCTTCATGTGCAGCTTGCCCTGAGGATGCATCGGGATGGTTAGGGATAAGTTTTTCTCATTTTTCATTTTTTTTGCCAAAATGAAATCATGCTACACACGCCTTTCACGAACGTTACAGTACCGTGCACACGGCAGGAACTTTCCATCTCAATCCCGGCAGGTGTGTGTCACGTAGGAAGTCTGTTCTCATGGCTGTGCAGCTGTCACACCTCCCTCTCCAGAGCTTCCTCTTCCTGCAAAACCAAGCCTCTGTCTCCATTCCACACTCGCTCCCGTTCCCCGCCCCGGCCTCCGGGCCATTCTGCTTTCTGTCTGATTCTGACGCCTCTGAGTACTTGTTCTTGCTGTGAGTGGTGCTTTCACTCAGCACCGTGTCCTGGAGGTTCATCTATGGGGTGGCCGGCATCGGGATTTCCTTTCTTCTCAAGGCTGAGTGATACCCCCGGCGTGCGGCCACCACATCCAGCTTCTCTGTCTATTGAGGGACATTCGGGCTGCTTCCACATTCGAGCCGTTGGGAGGAATGCTGCTCAGGACATGAATGGACACGTTTCTCTTCAAGAGCCTGCTTTCAGTTCTTCTGGGTACTTACCTGGAAGTGGGGCGGCTGGGTCCTATGGTATAATCATTCTATGTTTAATTTTTTTTTTTTTGAGACAGAATCTGGCTCTGTCGCCCAGACTGGAGTGCAGTGGTACAATCTCAGCTCACTGCCACCTCCACCTCCCGGGTTCAAGCAATTCTTCTGCCTCACCTCCCAAGTAGCTGGAATTACAGGTGTGCACCCCCACTCCCAGCTAATTTTTATATTTTTAGTAGAGATGGGGTTTCACCATGTTGGCCAGGCGTGTCTTGAACCCCTGACCTCAGGTGATCTGCCGGCCTTGGCCTCCCAAAGTGCTGGGATTACAGGCGTGAGCCTTCTCAGTGTGGATTTGGTTTGTATGTCCCTAGTGATGACCAACACTGAGCATCTTTTCATGTGCTTGTTGCCCATTTATAAATCTTATTTGGAGAAATGTCTATTCGTGTCCTTTGGCAATTTTTGAGTGTTTTTTTAAAAATTATTGTTGAGTTTTAGGACATTTCTATATAGTCTAGATGTTAATACCTCGTTGGACATGTAATTCACAGATATTTCGGTATTCAGAGATGCTCACGAACTCCAGCTTGCCTATTTTGTCTTTTGCTGCCTGTACCTTTGGTGTCACAGCTGAGAAATCGTTGCCAAATTTAACATCACGGAGCCTCCTCCTCTGTCTTCTTCTAAGAGTTCTCTAGTTTGTGCTAGGAACTTTCACACGTACTTTTCCGCGGCCTCCTGGAGGATCTGGTGTTTTTCTCCATTACGATTTCATGGGATGTGAGTCCATGGAGCCCTCCAGTGGCCCCGAAACCCCAGGGAGCGCTGTCTGCGTGTGCAGAGGTCTTGGTGTCCTGCGGGCGGGGGCATTCCAGCTCTTCTGGTGCTTTGACGCCTATGTTCTGAAGTGGAGTTGGGCTGTTGTTTTCATTCTTTTCCCTCTTGTTCTTGTCTGGTTTGGGTTCAGCTACTCTCAAAATAAACCCAGGGACACGTAACGATGGTGCTGCGGGACCTTGCACGAGAGGCTGGGGCTGCCCGGGTCCTGGCGATGCCTCGGTCTCCCAAAACGTCTTGCTGCTCAGGCTGCGGCAGAATCTAGTTTCTGGGGTTCTCCCTCTGAATGCTCCTGCGGCTGGGGCAGCGGAGATGAACTGGCTGTGGTCCTGGAGGGTGGAAGGCTTTGACCCTGGTGCAGACCTCACCCCGATTCCAGGGGCTTGCTGGCCACTATGCCCTCCTCACCCCATGGTGTTCTCCCTGCGTGCATGTCTGTCTCTGCAGCCAAATGTCCCTTCTTAAAAGACGATAGTCACATTGGATCGGGCGCCCCTAAGGACCTCATCTTACTCTCATCATCTGCAGCGACCCCATGTCCAAATAAAGCCATGTTCACAGATCTTGTTTTATTTTTGAGATGGAGGCTTGCTCTTATTGCCCAGGCTGGAGTGCAGTGGTTAAATTTTGGGTCACTGCAACCTCTGCTCCCAGCTTGAAGTGATTCTCCTGCCTCACCCTCAGTAGCTGGGATTACAGGCATCCGCCACCATGCCCAGCTAATTTTTGTGCTTTTAGTAGGGACGGGGTTTCAGCATGTTGGCCAGGCTGGTCTTGAACTCATGACCTCAAGTGATCCACCTGCCTTGGCCTCCCAAAGTGCTGGGATTACAGGCGTGAGCCACCATGATCATCCAGGGCTTCAACTTACCTTATTAGGGCACACGAGTCACAGTTCAGATGGGTGATCTTGGGAGGTGAGGGTCTCCAGGGGAGTGTTGGCAAGTGAGTGGTTAACACAGGGACAGTAAAGTGTTTCTCTGTTCTCACCGTGGATATGGTCGTCACCCCAGGCAGCCAGGACCAGGGTGGGAAGATGTCCTGGTGAGCAATGGGCAGGTCAGCAGATGCGGAAGGGCTGCGGCAGGGGAGGAAGGGGTGAGGACATGGAACCTGGGGTGAGAAAGCCCCAGGCCAAAGCCCACACTGCACACCCTGCTGGGGTTGGATGTCCCCAGTGGCTCCCAGGGGTCAGGGTCAGTGTGGAAGGATGTGTGGAGACTTGGGGGCTTCCCGGGAATGACGTTTGTGCTGAGGCTTCTCCTGGGGTGTTAGCCTAGAGAGGACTAGGTGTCCAGCAGGGTGAGGCCAAGAGGTCAACGGCGGGGGCTTCCGAGTAGCCAGTCCTGGGGGCCCCAGGGCGGGGTGGGGCAGGGCGGCTGCGTCACCGCCCAGGCAGAGCTCTCCAGAGATGCTGTCCTGGTGTCAGGACTGAGTGAGGCCTGGGAGCCCTGCATAGACAAGACTCGGCGGGGGGGGGGAGGTGGGGGTGGGCTGGCGAGTACCCCAGCAGCATTGGGTAGGGAAGGGTCTGTCCATTGTCCACCCACTTGTCCATCAGCACGCACCTGCTGTACCCAGCCGTCACTCACCCACCATCTGCCCACCTTCTCCTAAGAAAGGTTTGATGAGGGTGGGGCCTTGGAGGGATGTCCGTACGGAACCCATTCGTGGGACTTTTGGCAAGTTATCACGGCTTCAGCAGGAAGGAGAGTCAGGAAGACGGGGGTCCCATGGGTGGATCTGGGTGGCTCCCTCCTTGGGGGCAGTGGAAAATGGCCTCCTCTTCTTTCTGGCATCTGTCTTGCCCAGCCTGACCTTGGCCTTGAGGAATCTGCATAAACCCCACCCATACCCCATGTGCCAGGGTGTCAGCCGCTCAGGCCAGGCTGGCGCTGGTGTCGGTGGCATTGGCCACTCCCCTGCCCCGCACTGTGCCTGCTGCCATGCCCAGGGTGTTACGCGCGTGTGTGGCTGAGAATGCAGGGTCTGTTTGTGTAGAATGTGTGTTACACATGGCATAGGGTGTGGGGACCTCAAGGGGGAGTTGTGTACCTCTGAATTATGGCCTTGCTTGCACTTGGCTAGCAAGGCACCCACACACTTGGCAGTGAGGCTCCTGCAGACCATGGCCTGGTTTCCATCTATGCACACGGGCTGCCCTGAGCCCGCCAGGCCTCCTAATACAACTTGTCCGGAGAGGCAGCCGCTTTCAGATGTCGTTGGCTTTGGATGGGATTGTTGTACCTTCTGATCCAGACACCATTGCTGTGGTGTTTACCACAAGTCAGGCACCACATGCACACATGTGCGTGAATTCACACATCGCAGGCATGGTTGCACTCACCCACACACGTGTGTGCTTACCTGTGCATGCACACACACTGGCCCTCACACACACACATGTATGTCTATATGCATGCAGGCACACTGGCACCCCCCCACCTGTGAACATGCATGCACATATCCACACTCACCCACTGGCCCCACACGTGCACACACACACATATGCATATCCACACACATACCTACATGCATGCAGGCACACTCACACCACCCACCCATGAACATGCATGCACATATCCACACTCACCCACTGGCCCCACACGTGCACACACACACATATGCATATCCACACACACACCTACATGCATGCAGGCACACTCACACCACCCACCCATGAACATGCATGCACATATCCATGCACGCTAACCCACTGGCCCCACACATGCACACACACACACATACCCACACACATACCTACATGCACGCTGGCACACTCGCACCTACACACCCATGAACACACATGCACACACCCACACATGCACACATGCTGGTCCCCTGCACCCACACACCACATACAGGCACACCCGTGCACCCACTGTCCTGTTGAGCACCCTCATGGCATGTTGGGATCTGATGAAGAACAGGACCTGCCTGGTGTCTGCCTTTGTGTCACTCACAGCCTGAGGGGAGCAGGAGTGTAATGGAGTTCACAGACTCCAGCTGGTTCAATGGTACTGAGAGGGGGTGCCAGGGAGGGCTCCCCTGAGGCATGGCCTAGCCTTGACTTCACAGTGACATCATTAGGGCGAGGCTCGGACCCAACTCCTTGTCTGTGAGGTCAGCCCCATCGCCGACCACCCTCCCCATTTTTTCTCGTGGGGACTCGTACACCTGCAGGGTTGGCCTCGGGGGAATGCAGGTGACCATGGCCCTTCTCAGGTGGGGCTTCCGCTGCTCCCAGTGGCCAGGGAGGTCTTGCAGTTTGACCTGGTTCTATTCTCCACAGATTGACCAACTCATCAGTCATGGGGCTGACATCCTGAAGCCTGTGACGCTCAGGCAGGGGGAGAAGGTGGCAGTGGGCACAGCCGTGGACTATGGCTACTTCAAATTCTTCCAGGTAGGTGGTGAGCCTCCCACGATGAAGGGGGAGTGTGGATCACATGCAGGGCCCCTGGCTGGGCTGTTAGCTTCTTTGAGGCAAAGCTGGGCTTCAATTTCCTAGTGCCTCCCCGAGAGCAGCCCCTTGGCAGCAGAGGCGAACCCCCGATGTGCTGAGCTCATGCCGGGTGCAGCTGTGTGTGCTCCCAGCTTTGTGTGTCTGTCTGAGTTCATCCTCAGTTACACATCACAATGGCCAAGAGGGGCCCTCGATCACCCAGAGTTGCCCAGCAGCAGGGTGGGCCCGGGACCCTGTGGTGACCCTGGTGCCATGCTGCAGGATCGGAAGATTGCCCACTGCCCCTTCCACACACTGATGCCGGCGGAGCGTGAGACGTTCGTGGCAAGGAAGCGGCTCCTGGAGTACATGGGCTTGCGGCTGAGAAAGGCGGTCTTTGCCAAGGAGAGCCAGTGGGACCCCACGTGGCTGTACCTGTGCAAGAGAGGTGGGCAGTGGGCCCTGCTCTGCTCTGTTCTGCAGGGCGGGGTTCCGGCCTTGTGCCTGGGGCTGTGATCCTGGTAGATCTGGACCCCTCGGGTTCTGCAGGGGCCTTCCTAGGTCCAGGCACATCTACTTGGCCCCTTTGTGCTCTAACCCCCAAGCAGCTCGGGCAGGAGAGATGAGAAGAGGGGTCTGGACTGGGAAGAGGTCCCTGGGAAGGGGAGGTGGTGGCCTAGGCCCAGGACCCAGGAGAGGACTAGGCATCGCTGCGGGAGCCCATCCAGCACGGGGAACGAGGGGCCGAGGCCTGGGGGTGGAGCTCCTCTGCACGGTCACAGGCCTGCAGGTGCATCCCACACGCCCCACATATACCCAGCTCCCCACATGGAGCTACCCCACATAGGCACCATCCGCCTACTGCCATCTATTCCCCCATGTACCCACAGCCACGTACCCAACCCCATCCACATACCACCGCCCCCACATGCCCACCCCACCCACCTACTCACCACCAGTACCCACTTCCACATACCCCTACCCATTTACCCCACCCCACATGCCCACCCCCACCCACCTACTCACCACCATGTACCGACTCCCACCTACTTACTCACCCCCTCATCTTTCCACCCCAACCACCTACTCACCCCCATCCCCACATACTCATCCCCCCATACTCATCCCCCCACATACCCACTCCCACCCACCTAGTTACCCCCACCCCTGCATACTCCCTCCTGCTCCACTCCCTACATTTACCTACTCATGTCTACCTGGCACACACAGACCCACTCAGCTGTCCACAGACACTGACACCCACACTCACCCTCTCCTCACTTAAGAGCCTGTCACGTGTTAACATGTGTGCTGCTGATCCTGCCCCCACACTGAGTCTTCAGCATGTATATAGAAACTTTCTAAATGTATTTTAAAGTAACTTATATATATAGGAAGTGTAATGGAGTTTCAGGTGGGATAAAACAGAGATTTGTAAAACAGACACATCAGAGTTATTTTCAGCAAAAGAAAAATAACTTAGAACTTACAAGGGAACCCCAGTAAGATTAGCAGTTAGCCGGGGTCTCATCAGAAGAGATTGGTTGGGGGGTGGTCAAGATGGCTGGTGAGAACATTTCATGCCCACTTCCTCCACTCAGTGGAAGCAGAGCAGCGTATAGACAGTCACACTCCAGGTACATTTTCCAAGAGAGAACGCTGGAACTCAACAGAGAAGTGAGCCGTGACCTGTGCGTCTTAATCCCTGGTTTAGCTGGGTTCCTCTTAACCTCTGATGACCGCCTTTGTGGTCAGAAGGTCACGTGTCCCAACTAATGCTCACTGGGGGATTCCACCAGGGACCAGGCCTTGAGGGTTAGCGGGGAGAAATGTGCAGGCTGGTGGGCACTGCCCTGGAGTGAGGGTTAGCGGGGAGAAACGTGCAGGCTGGTGGGCACTGCCCTGGAGTGAGGGTTAGCGGGGAGAAACGTGCAGGCTGGTGGGCACTGCCCCGGAGTGAGGGTTAGCGGGGAGAAATGTGCAGGCTGGTGGGCACTGCCCTGGAGCTGTCAGTCCCAGGGTTGGGGGTCTGGGGTCTGGGCCATCAATAGATTGCTATGAGGTCCTCTGATGACAGCAGCTGCTGGGCGGCAGAGCCACGACCTGTGACCTCTCTGTTGACCCTGGCTTCTCAGGGCCACTAGCCAGGCCCAGCACTCCATGCATCTTTGTCTCTTCAGTGGCCCAGGTCCAGGGGAGAGCCTCTGACCACCCTAAGAATCTGAGTCTTAGTCCCTGGTTTAGTTGAGTTCCTCTTAACCTCTGGTGACCGACTTTGTTAGTGAAAAGGTCACTTGTGCCAATGAATGCTCACCAGGGGATTCCTCTTAAAAGATACGGAATAGCTAAATGGATTAAAAATGATCCCGATGATCCTTCAACCTCAGTCCCCAGACCAAATGGACCTCACAGACATTTACAGAACATGTTGTCTAACCAATGCAGAGTATACATTCTTCTCATCCGCACATGAGACCATGTGTTAGACCACAAACCAGTCTCAACAAATTAAAAAAATCAAAATCGTGTCAGGTATCTTCTCAGACCTCAACAGAGTAAACCCAGAAGTCAGTACCAAGAAGAACTCTAAACTATACAAATACGTCATTTATACTGTACAAACGTGTATGTACAAATTTGCAAACATGAAAATCACACATTTCTGAATGAATATTGAGTCGATGAAGAAATTGAGATGGAAATAAAAAATATGTTGAGACAAAGACAGAAGCACAGTATGCTGAATCCTGTGGGATGCAGCAAAAACAGGGCCGGGAGGGTTACAGCTATAAATGCCTACCGCAGAAAAGTAGGAAGATTACAAACCAGCGCTCTCACCATGCATCTCAAGGAACTAGAAAGCAAGAACAACTCAAATCCAAAATTAGAAGAAGAAGAGAAACAATAAAGATTACAGCAGAACTCAATGAAATGGAGGAAAAAAGTACAGAGAATCAATGAAATAAAAAGTCGATTCTTTAAAAAGTTGAGGCCAGGTGCAGTGGCTCATGCCTGTAATCCCAGCACTTTGGGAGGCTGAGGCAGGTGAATCACAAGGTAAGAAGTTCGAGACCAGCCTGGCCAATATAGTGAAAACCCGTCTCTACTACACACACACACACACACACACACACACACACACACACAGCCAAGTGTGGTAGCATGCACCTGTAGTCCCAGCTACTGAGGAGGCTGTGGCAGGAGAATTGCTTGAACCTGGGAGACCGAGGTTGCAGTTAGCTGAGATTGTGCCACTGCACTCCAGCCTGGGTGACAGAGCAAGACACTGTCTCAAAAAAAAAAAAAAAAAATTGAAAACAAGATTGGTAAACTGATAGCTACACTAACTAGGAAGAGAGAATAAATTTATTCTTTTATATCTTATTTGAAGAAATGAATCTCTGTAAATAAATAAAATCAGAAATGAAAAAAGGAGATATTATAACTGATATCATAGAAATACAAAAGATCATCACAAACTATATGACAAACTGGAGAACCCAGAGGAAATGGATAAATTCCTGGAGACATACACTCTTCCAAGACTGACTGAAGAATAACTAGAAAACCTGAACAGACGAATAATGAGTAGCAAGACTGAATCAGTAAAAAAAACTTCTCAACAAGGAAAAGCTCAGGACCAGATGGATTCACAGCTCAATTCTACCAAATGTATAAAGAATAAGTAAAACCAATCCTCCTGAAACCATTCCACAAATTTGAGGAGGAGGGAATTCTCCCTAACTCATTCTATGAGGCCAGTGTCATGCTGATATCAAAAACAGACAAAGACATATGTAGAAAACCTACAGGTCAATATTCCTGATGAATCTAGACGCAGAAATTCTCAACACAATACTAGCAAACCACATCCAGCAACACTTTCAAAAGATTAGGTGAGATTTATACCTGGCATGTAAGGATAGCTCAACATATGCAAATTAATAAATGTGAAACATCACATCAACAGAATGAAGGACAAAAACCATACAGTCATCTCAATAGATGCAGACAAAGCACTGGATGCAATTTAACAAGTCTTCATAATAAAAACTTTTGTTTCTCTTTCTGAGATGGAGTCTTACTCTGTTGCTCAGGTTGGAGTGCAGTGGCACGATCTCAGCTCACTGAAACCTCTGCTTCCCAGGTTCAAGCGATTCCCCTGCCTCAGCCTCCTGAGTAGCTGGGATTACAGGCACCTGCCACCATGCCCAGCCTATTTTTTTGTGGTTTTAATAGAAACAAGAGTTTCACCATGTTAGCCAGGCTGGTCTTGAACTCTTGACCTCAGGCGATCCACCTGCCTCAGCCTCCCAAAGTCCTGGGATTACAGGTGTGAGCCACCATGCCCAGCTGATTAAAATCTCTTAAGAAACTAGGCACAGAAGGAATATACTTCAAAATAATGAAGGCCATATATGACAAGTCCACAGCCAACATCATCATAATAGGGAAAAATTGAAAGCCTTTCCTGTAAGAACTGTAATACGACAAGGTTGCCCACTTTCGCCACTCTCATTTAACCTAGTACTGGAAGTCCTAGCCAGAGCAATCAGGCAAGGGGAAGAAAGAAAAGGCATCCACATTGGGAAAGACTAAGTCAAATTGTCCCTCTTTGCTGATAATCTTGTTCTATATCTAGATAAACCCAAGACTTTACCAAAACACTCGTAGATTTGATAAATGAATTCAGTAAAATTGCAGGATACAAAACTAAAGTACACAAAAATCAGTAGCATTTATATACACCAATAATGGCCTAGCCAGCACAGAATTCAGGAAGGCAGTCACATTTACAATAGCTACAAAAAATACTTAGGAATACATTTAATCAGGGAGGTGAATGATCTCCATAAGGAAAACAATAAAACACCAAGGAAAGAAATTGAAGAGAACACACACAAAAAATGAAAAGACATTCCTTGCTCATGGATTGGAAGAATTAATATTGTGAAAATGACCATACCACCAAAAGCAATCTACAGAGTCAATGCAATCCCTATCAAAATACCAACACTGTTCCTCACAAAAACAGAAAAAACAATTCTAAAATTTATGTAGAACCAAAAAAGATCCCAAATAGCCAAAGCAGTCCTGAACAAAAAGAACAAAGCTGGAGGTATCACATTACCTGGATTCAAAATATACTACAAAATTATAGTAACCAAAACAGCATGTATTGGTATACAAATAGACACATACACCAATGGAACAGAATAAAGAACCCAGAAATAAAGCCATATATTTACAGCCAACTGATCTTTGTCAAAGCTGACAGAAGATGATACATTGGGGAAAGAAAACTTTCTTCAATAAATGGCACTGGGAAAATTGGATAGCTACATGCAGAAGAATGAAAGTGGACCCTTATCTCTCACCATACATAAAAATAGACTCTACGTGGACTAAAGACTTCAACATAAGACCTGAAACTATAAAAATACTCAAAGAAAATTTAGGGTAAATTCTCCTGGACATTGATCTAGGCAAAGAAGTTATGACTAAGACCTCAAACACATAGGCAACAAAACCAAAAACAGACAAGTGGGACTTAATAAAACTAAAAAGCTTCTGCACAATGAAAGAAATAGCATAGTGAAGAGACAACCTGGTGAATTTACCTGACAGGTGACTAATATTCAGAATATACAGGGAACTCATGCAATTCAACAGGAAAGAAAATCCTATGAAACTTGGGTAAAGGACATGAATTGACATTTCTCAAAAGAAGACATACGAACAGCCTATGGGTGTAAGAACAAATGCTGATCTGCTTGTCTTATGCCTAAACGAAAGAAGACTAGCTCAACCTCACTAATTATCAGAGAAATGCAAATCAGTCAGGATGGCTATTATAAAAAGACAGAAAATACCAGATGGTGCAAGAATGCCAAAGAAAGGGACCTTTTACATGTTGTTGGTGGAATATAAATTAGTCCAGGCACTATAGAAAACAATATGAAGATTTCTAAAAATGTATATAGAATTATCATTCAATCCAGCAATCACACTGCTCTCTACCCAAAGGAGGAAAAATCAATATATCAAAGAGGTACCTGCACTTGCCTGTTTATTGCAGCATGATTCACAATAGCTAAGATTTGGAACTGACCCAAATGTTCATCAGGAAATGAATCAATAAAGAAAATGTGGCATATATATACCACACACACCACGCTTTCTTTATGGATCCATTTGCTGATACACAATGGAATACGATTCAAATACAGGCAAGAATTAAATTATGTCATTTATAGCAACGCAAGTGGAACTGGAGGTTAGTATCTCACGTGAAATAAGCCAGGCACAAAAAGACAAATCTTGCATGTTCTCACTTATGGGAGCTAAAAATTTTGAACACATGGAGGTAGAGAATAGAAATATAGATAGCAGAAACTGGAAAGGCTGAGTAGAGGAAGTGAGTAGCATGAAGAGAAGAGGTTTAAAGGGTACAAAGATAAAGTAAGATAGAAGAAATAGATTTAGTGTTTTAGAGTGGAGTAGAATTACCATACTTAACAAAAATTTATTTTATTCAGGTGATGGGCACCCTGAATACCCTAACTTGATTACACAGTGTATACGTGTAACAAAACTTTGTATGTACTCCACAGATTTGCATAAATAGTAATTGAAAGATGCAATAGAGGTTGCTAGAGGAGACTCAAGACAGGGGGATGTGTCATATTCGAAGTGCTCAAAAATGGCTGCACACAGTGGCTCTTGTCCCTGTAACACTAGTACCTTGGGAGACTGAGGCAGGAGGATTGCTTGAGCTCAGGTGATTGAGACCAGCCCAGGCAACATGGTGAGATCCAGTTTCTATTTAAAGAAAATTAAAAATCAACAAACAAAAAGCAAAGTGCTCAAAGTTAGATAAACTGTTAACCAAGAATCCTATACCCAGCAAGTTAACTTGCAAACATAAAGGTGAAACTGACATATTCCCAGATAAAACCGGTGAGAAGTGGTTGTCATAGCCTTTTCTTACAAGAAATTCCAAAAGTATTCTGAAGGCAAGTGATTTAAGGTGGAAATTAAATACACACGAACAAAAAGCACTGGCAAAGGTAATTGTAAAGAAGAATATAAATGCATATTTCTTGTTAATTGACTTTAAAAGCAATTTAAAATAATTTGTATGTAAGCAAGTTGTATATATGTATATATATGTATTGTATTTATATATATATATATATTGTGTGCGTGTGCATGTGTGGTTGCATGTATGTGTGTGCCTGTAACACACAGAAATGTATTATACTTGGCAGTAACAGTACAAAGGAAGTGGGCAGAAGGACAGTTCTGTCGTGATAAGAAGTGACTCCAAATGCTAAGTCAAACTGGGAAGGTGAAATGGAGATCCAGAAATGGCAAATAATTTTAATACAACTAAACCTTTAAAGATATACATTTCCTCCTTTCTTCTCTCAGATTCTTTAGAATACATAAAATTACATAAAGTAATAATACTCTTATAATGTTGGATTTATAACCTTTATAGATGTAATTTGTATGATAATATCATGAAAAGGCAGAAAAGGAAATAGAGCTCTATAGGAATAACTTTTTTTTATTTTTATTTTATTTTATTTTATTTTATTTTTTTTGAGGGAAAAAGAGAAGAAGGGGAAAAAAAGAAAAAGAGGGAAAAAGGAATATTACTTCATTCCTAAAATGGGTTTCAATAATGGCCGATCAATATTTGAGTGTTTAAAGTGGTTAATGCATATTTTATGTGTTTAAAATGGAGACCTCTATTGTGTTTATTTGTTCTGGTTCTGAGTTCAAGTCCTGGTTATCGTTATCAATTTGTTGTCTCGTTGAATCTAAATCTCATTATGTGTCTTATGTATCTGGGTGTTAAGATCTCTTATTGTTACGTTAATCCTTTTACCCTTGCATCCTTGTAGCTTTGAAATCTATTTTATTAAGTGTGCGAATTGCAACTCCTGCTTTTTATTTATTTATTTTTGCTCTCCATTTGGTTGGTGAGTTTTTTTCCATCCCCTTGTTTTGAGTCTTTGTATATCTTTAGATATATCGTTAGATTTTGTGGATAATGTATATTTTGTGTGTTTAAAATGGAGAGCCCTATTGAGTTTATTTGTTCTGGATCTTAGTTCCAGTCCCGGATATCGTTATCAATTTTCTGTCTCGTTGAATCTAAATCTCATTATGGGTCTTAAGTATCTGGGTGTTAAGATCTCTTATTATTACATTAATCCTTTTACCCTTGTATCCCGTAGCTTTGAAATCTATTTTGTCAAATGTGAAAATTGCAACTCCTGCTTTTTATTTATTTATTTTTGCTCTCCATTTGGTTGGTACGTTTTTTTTTCCAACCCTTTATTTTGAGTCTATGTATATCTTTGGATATACCGTTAGATTTTGTCTGTATCTTTTGATTGGGGGATTTGGTCGATTTAAATTTAGGGTTGCTGCCGTTTGATATTAACTGGCTATTTTGTCCTTTTGTTGATAAAAATTCTTCTTTATGTTAATGCTCTTTACTTTTTGGTGTATTTTTAGAAAGGGTCATACTGGTTGTTCCTTTCTGTGTATAGTGCTTCTTTTAGAAGTTCTTGTAAAGCAGGCCTGGTGGTAATAAAATCTCTGAGTACTTGCTTGTTCCTAAAAGATTTTATTTTTCCTTCAAATGTAAAGCTTAAATTGGCAGGATATGAAATTCTGGGCTGAAAGTTCTGTTGATTAAGTATATTGAATATTGGCCCCCACTCTCTTCTAGCTTGTAGGGTTTCCGTTGAGAGATCTGCTGTAAGCCTGATAGGCTTCCCTTTGTGGGTAACTTGATCTTTCTCTCTGGCTGCCCTTAATATTTTCTCCTTCGTTTCGATCCTGGTGAATCTAACGATTATGTGCCTTGGGGTTGGTCTTCTTGAGGAATATCTTTGTGGTGTTCTCTGTATTGCCTGACAGACGCCCAAATACATGAGGCAGAAACAGAGATGGAGAAACAGGTAATGCAATAACAGTTGGAAATGTCAATTCCTCACGCTGAACAACTGACCAGACAGCTAGGCAGCGCCTACAGGAAGCCCGCCAGACTTGTCGACCTCGAGAACACTCTACCCGACCGCAGCAGAATCTGGGTTCTCCTCAGGTACCCTGGAGACATTCTCCAGCATACGCCATATGCAGATCATAAACGCTTCATACATTTGAGAGAACAGAAATAATACATTTCATGTTTCAGACCACAGTGGAATTTAACTGGAAATGACCAGCAGAAGGACATTTGGGAAACTCTCATAAAGTAACACACGTCTGGTCAGGCACGTGGCTCACCCCTGTAATCCCAGCACTTTGGGAGGCCGAGTTGGGCAGATCATGAGGTCAGGAGATTGAGACCATCCTGGCCAACATGGTGAAACCCCATCTCTGCTAAAAATACAAAAATTAGCTGGGCGTGGTGGAGTGCGCCTGTAGTCCCAGCTACTCGGGAGGCTGAGGCAGGAGAGTCACTTGAATGCGGGAGACACAGGTTGCAGTGAGCCGAGATGGTGCCACTGCACCCCAGCCTGGCCCCTGGTGACAGAATGAGACTCTGTCTGAAATAAATAAATAAAAAATAACACATCTCTAAATAACAAGTTTAACAAGAATCCAAAAGGGAAATCTGAGAAACTTTGAAGACACAACAGCAAGGGAGACGGCAGAGTGAAGCCTCTCCCTGGAGCCCGAGGACCGCCCGGCGCCTCCAGGTCCTTGCACCTGCGTGGAGGCACTGAAGGCTTGAGTCCCCCTATCTGCCTCCCCGGTAGTGCAGGCAGGCAGCACAGGGAGGGCCCAAGGAGGTGGCATCTGCAGTGGTGCCCCCCCCGTCACCTGGGCACTAATGTGGGTCCCTCTTTCATGCAGCGGAGCTGATCCCCAGCCACAGGATGAAGAAGAGGGACCCCAGCCTGCCCAAGGGCCTGGACGTGAAGGGGCGGGAGCAGTAAGTATGTCTGTGGGCTGGGTTCTTTCCAGGATGGCAGCCTGTGGTTTGGACAGTGCTGCTGTGCCTGGCCCGACAACCTCACCCCAGGACAGCCTCCCTGCCATCTGACCCCCAAGTGGCATGGCCTCCTCCAGGCAGCCCTGCTCGCAGGCCATGGGCTTCAGCCAAGATGAGGTGCAGGGTCGTAGAGCACACAGAGCTGCCCTGGGCTGCCCCTAGCCGGTCACAGATGGGCTCTATGTCCTGCAGGAGGGTGGCCACCTCCCCCGACCCCAGAAATGGCCACTGAGTGGGGTTTGAGCCCATGCTCTGCTTTTGCAAGATGTCCTGTGGATGCTTTCCTGGCTTGCTGGCCGCACGGCCGAGGCGGCACACCTGCACCCTCCTAGCCCCTGCCCCTCCTGGGAGTCTCAACAGTGTTGCAGAACAGTCTCTTTACATGCCTGTGCACCCCTGTGGGATGAGAGGGCAGGGACCAGGCCCTATTTGTGTGGGTGTCCCCATCACGTAAACCCTGAGCCACCCAGTGAGGTGATGGAGAGGGGACTGGTGCAGGACGGGGGGGCTCATTTTCCTCTGAAAGCAGAGGAGACTGGTGCTATGAGGCTCACCCCAAAGACAGGCTCCATGCCCTGCCCTTGAAGAGTGACTTCTTCCCGTGCCACTGTCCCACAGACACGTCCCTGTGCGCCTGGGAAATCCCCCCATCATCATGTTGGCGGCACCATGGTGGTCTCCTGGATGGATGTGCATTCACTTACCCAGCCTCACTGGCGGGCACTTAGGTGGTTCCTGAGCTTGGCACATGTTGGTTTCCTATTCTAAATACTGCCATGCTGAACATCCTCAGGATGAGGACTTGGGGTCTTCTGCCCATGTGTGAAGGCTGTCCTGCACAGGCGACAGTGTGGGACGGCGGAGAGTGGCCCAAGAGCGCAGGGCCGGGCACAGCTCCCGGGCAGCAGCTGTTTAGGGTACGCTGCGGGGCTGCCTGATGACCCGAGGCTCTGTTGCAGAATTCCATTCTTCAAGTTCTGCTGCCTGTGTGGCCGCTCCATCGGGGTCCACCTCCTGCCCTGCCCTCGCTGCTATGGGGTCCTGACCTGCAGCAAATACTGCAGGACCAAGGCCTGGACCGAGTTCCACAAGAAGGACTGCGGGGACATGGTGGCCATTGGTAGGTCGGCCCTCAGGCTGGGAGGAAAGGCTTCCGCTGGTGCTGAGGGTGAAGGCGCGGGCAAGGGGCTCCCTCATTTCCCGAAATCTCTCCAGATTCAGGCCACTTTCCCAGCATTTCCAGATGGGCCTGTTGGGAGGTGGACAGCAGGGGGCCACTGAGGCAGCCTGGCTCTTCCTCTCCTGTGGCAGCGCAAGGCTTGTCCTCACCCTGGAAGGGGACAGCACCCCATCCCTGCAGAGCTGGAATGTGGTCCTCTGGGGGCTCAGGTGACCCCTGGGAGCTTTGCTGAACTCCTAGGGGCTCTGCTGACACCCGGGAGCTAGAGGGCTCTGGGGGGTCTGCTGACACCAGTGCCTCTGGATCACAGGGCGGTTGACCTTGGGGTTCCTTCTGGAAATGTTCTCCCGGCCTGCTGTGTCAGATATCTTAGTGTGGACGTCAACAGGTGTCTGCTTCTAGAAACAGCCTGTTCTCCCGCCCCTCCCCCACCCTCCTTGGTGTGACCAGGGCTGGGTGTGGCGAGCGTGGCGGGCATTGTGAAGGCTGCTGTGCGAAGCTGGGACTTGGCTGGGTTCCCGGGCTGGTGAGGATGGGAGTGAGGCTGGGAATGCCCCTGCCTTGGGCCTGTGCCCTGAAGCGAATGGCTGCTGACCTCTTTCCCTCTCCATAAAATGGGGCTTCTAATGACAGGCGCCCTTGGGTCGGGGGTTGCAGCTCCTTGGCTTGTAGATTCCAGGATGGGGATTTGTTGGGTCTGGCAAGCCCCTCTTTGAGGAGTCACCGAAGACACCCCTTAGGCCCTGCTGTGTCTGGTCTCCTGGTCTGGGAAAGGCTAGACAGAGCCCGGCACTCAGCTGCCCTGCACAGAGGGCACAGAGTTCTGGAGCCAGGCCTGGGGAGGCCCAGCTGCTGCCCGCTCCTCCCCATCACTCACATGTTTTCCTCCTCCAGGGGCACACCTGGAGGAGGTTTCCAGACGGAGAGAAGAGTCTCAGTGAAGCAGCGTCTGCACGCCCGGGGCCTGGGGAGGACCCAGGACTGTGTGCGATTCTCACCTGCCTGGGCCGCCTCGGGGACGCTTCAGTTCATGCAGGTGTTTCTGCACCTTTACGGCCGCGCGTTGTAGCAGTCAGTGTCTCCTTTGCGACCTCAAAATAAATTGGCCTCATGGGGTGTTTGACGCTGTGTGCTGTGATCTGCCCCTAGCTGGGCAGAGTCCCAGAGCTTCCGTGGGGCCTGTGCCTGCCTCTGCCCCTGGCTTTGGTCTTGCCTGGCCTCCACTGTCCTGATGGACGAGGCAGGCGAGGGTCAGGACTCAGAGCCTGCTGCAGAGACGGCGGTGGGGGCGGCTTCTGGGCCTCCGGGGCCTGTTCTGGGACCTTGTCAGGAGCCCGCAGCAGCTGGCTCCACCCCTGCTCGGGTGCCCACGGGCGCAGGGGATGACGGTGTTTTGGAAATCACCTTGACTGAGAGATTGAGGTGGGACCTGGAGCAGTTGACAGGGAGCAGTGCTGCCTGATGAGGGCGGGCAAAGGTGGCCAGTGTGGAAGTTCATGGAGAGGGAGGGAGGCATGTGTGCAGTAAGGGGTGCACAGGGAGAAGGACGACAGCATCCCCAGGGACAAGGGGACAGCGTCCAGGACGAGGGCGATGGGGGCTTGCTGCAGAGGGCAGAATAGTGGGGAGTGTGGGAGGTGGGAGCCTGTGTCTGGGCTGGAGCCAAGCAGGTGAGGCTCTTCTCCAGGCTGGCTGTGGCTGTCCAAGCAGCCGCACCTGCAGTGATGTATATATGTATATATGTATTTTTTTTTTTTTTTCTTCTTGAGACAGAGTCTTACTCTGTCGTCCAGGCTGGAGTGCAGTAGAGCGATCTTGGCTCACAGCAACCTCTGCCTCCTGGGTTCAAGCAATTCTTCTGCCTCAGCCTCCCGAGTAGCTGGGACTACAGGCGCGCACCAGCTAATTTTTGTATTTTTAGTAGAGACAGGGTGTCATATTGGCCAGGCTGGTCTCGAACTCCTGACCTTGTGATCCTCCCTCCTTGGCCTCCCAAAGTGCTGGGATTACAGGCGTGAGCCACCGCGCCCGGCCCCTGCAGTGATTTTTTTACTGACTTCCTTGGTCTTTGATCAAAGGTGGGCTCCGTGCCCATCTTTGTTGGGGTTTGTTGGGAGTGCCCTGGGAAGTGCTCCTGTCAGGGGTCAGCAAGGAGCCTGGGCAGAGAGACAGCCTGACCGCTGGGTGGCTTTTCATACAGTGTCCCATCGGATGCAGGGGCCAGGCTTTTGTATGCCAGCATCGGCGGCCACCGGCCACAGGCTGCCCCCAGGAGGCCCTCACCGTGTGAGCTGGCTCCCTGCCACCAACAGCTGTCCTCGGTCGGGGGGCTCCGGGATGCTGGGCGGATATAGGCACCCCCAGCATCCACTACCTCTGCCAGGAAGGAAGAAGCTGCTAATGGGTGCTTATTTGTCAGTGCAGTTAATTCTATGAAGTTAGAGAATATCTATACAGCGATAGAAAACCCGTTAATTGTCAATTATCTGCGCTGAATTAGCCCATTCTCGCACAGCTACAAACACATTACAGAGACCGGAAAATGTATAAAGAAAGGGGTTTAATTGGCTCAAGGTTCTGCAGGCCGCCCAGGAAGCAGGGCGGCAGGTGCTCGGCTTCCCCTGTGGCTGAAGGTGAAAGGAAGCCGGCACCTGACGTGGCTGGAGTGGGAGGAAGCGGGGGCTGCCACACGTAAACAGCCAGATCTCCTGAGAATTCCACCACTATGAGACCTGCACCAAAGGGTGAAGCCCACCCCCAGGATCTGGTCACCTCCCACCAGGCCCCACCTCCAACTTTGGGGATTACAGTTCAACGTGAGATTTGGGCAGAGACACGGATCCAAACCGTGCCACAGACCCTGGAAATCACCATGGCCAGCGCCTGGCATGTGCTTTGATCTCTGCGGGCGCGAGCCACACAGACACACGCGCCACCTGAAAGCAGGAGCACCCTCCGTTCCCAGGTGGCCGTGAACATCCGTGTCATTCAATATTTTTCTGCAACATAATTTCCCCGAATGAAAACAGCTTTATTTTTATTATGCAACATATGCTTGTTTAAGAAAGAAGGCAGCAAGGACAAGAGTGACAAAAACAACTGGGGGAGGTGGCACGTGCCTGTGATCCCAGTGACTTGGGAGGCCGAGGCAGGAGGATTGCTTGAGCCAAGGAGTTCCAGACCAGCCTGGGCAACATAGTGAGACCCTGTCTCTCAAAAAAAATCTTAGCCAGGTGTGCACACCTGTAGTCCCAGCTATTCAGGGGGCTGTAGTGGGAGGACTGCTGAACTAGGAGCTTGAGGCTGCTGTGATGGCGCCACTGTGCTCTGGCCTGGTGAGAGTGAGATGCTAAAAAATAATTTTAAAAAAGGGAGAAAATCATCTTAATCTTACAATTCAAGGATAAGCATTCTGAGCACTTCGGGGAACGTATTCTTTATTTTTATTATTTTTTGAGACAGAGTTTCACTCTTGTTGCCCAGGCTGGAGTGCAGTGGTGAGATCTTGGCTCACTGCAGTCTCTGCCTCCAGGGTTCAGGCAATTCTCCTGCCTCGGCCTCCCAAGTAGCTGAGATTACAGGTGCCCACCACCATGCCTGGCTAATTTTGTATTTTTAGTAGAGATGGGGTTTCACCATGTTGGGCAGGCTGGTCTCAAACTCCTGAACTCAAGTGATCCACCTGCCTTGGCCTCCCAAAGTGCTAAGATTACGGTGTGAGGCACCGCGCCCGGCCTTGGGGAACATATCCTTTACATTGTAACCCGTGCATGCACCCACACCTGATGGACAGAAACTCGCTAAAACATAGCGACCTCTCCTGTGCCTTGTGGACACGTAACTGTCTTGCTCTTGAGCCCTAGAGGATGTGCCCTGAGAACCGGGCTGCTCAGTGCGGCCCCCCCATCCCCTCGGGGGCCACAGTGTGGCCTGGCCCCTCGGCTTTTTGTGAACGTGGAGTTCTGAGATGATGGGCCGTATGTGGGAATTGCAGGGCTCACCTAGGAGCATGTGGGGCCGGGCGGGGCTGAGGGCCTGCCCAGGGCCAGAGGGAGGGGAGGGAATCCTCGGGATTATTATGCAACATATGCTTGTTTAAGAAAGAAGACAGCAAGGACAAGAGTGACAAAAACAACTGGGGGAGGTGGCACGTGCCTGTGAATCCAGTGACTTGGGAGGCCGAGGCAGGAGGATTGCTTGAGCCCAGGAGTTCCAGACCAGCCTGGGCAACATAGTGAGACCCTGTCTCTCAAAAAAAATCTTAGCCAGGTGTGCACACCTGTAGTCCCAGCTACTCAGGGGGCTGTAGAAGCCACCCCCACCCCCCCGCTGCTTCTCAGAGCCCTCAGCTCTTTCCTGCCCTGAGCAGCCTCTCTGAGACGTGTCCCAGGCTTCTGGCTGTAAGTGGAGGTCTGGCTGGAGCCTTCTTTGCCCCCACAAGGAGGCGGGACAGCAGGGAGCCCCCTGTGTCCCTGTGCCCCCTCCATGCTGTCCTGGGTGGTGTACAGGTGAGGGAGGGAGATGGGAATGCCTGTCCTTGCCCAGCCAGTCCCATGCCCACAGCCATCTTTGGTCCCATCCTGGCTGTGGATGGGTGCCTGCCCTTTTGTTTTAGGGCTAGTACCTCCCCTGCCATGCCTTCCAGGAGGGCAGCCTCGGTGCCTCCCAGAACCCTGGGCACTGGATGGTGAGTGGGGATCCTGGGCACAGGGTCTGGGAGCAGCAGCTCAGGGTCCATCTGAATGGCGGATGCCCATGCATACTCGGTCCTGGAAGGCTGAGGACCCAGGCACCTGGGCTGGGCAGCCCGGTGGACCTGCTGGCACAAGATGCCCGGCCAAGCTACAGCCACGGTGTCTTGAAGATGGGCTGAGGCCTGGAGCTCCTCTCAGATGCTCCACAAGCTGCTATTTCTGATGACTTCTTTCCAGTCATCTGCCTTGGAACCAGAGAAAGGGGGGGACATGGGAGTGTCCCATGGTTCTCCAGGGAGTCCAGGGTGCCACCGCTCCACCTGGCCCAGGCCATTCCCCTTCCTGACTTCCACGCCACTGCTGCCTCCTGAGCCAGGGATGGCGAGCCGGGCAGGCAGGGGCCATGGAACCCTGGCAGGTTAAGGGACCTCAGCAGGGGGACAGTGGGGTGGTCCGGGGTGGGAGGAGGGGTTGCCTGTGGGATGGAGACAAGGAGCAGGGGAGGCAGGGAGACACTGAGGCTGGGGCGTGTGGTGGGGCTGCAGCCCCTGGGACCCCTACAGTGGGATGGGAGCAAGGAGGGGCTCCTGCCCTGGGGCTCAGCCCCCACTCTCTGGGGCAGTGAGGGACACAGCTTCACGTGCATTGGCCCAAAGGCCCAGGAAGGGTGGCCCCGAGTCTGCTGTCATCTGCTGCGCACCAGCCCCAGCCCAGCTGTGCTGCTATTGAGGTGCTGTAGAAGGCAGTCCCAGCAGGTCCAAGGAGGCTCCTTGCCCCAGCCCCACTTTCCTCCCTCTCCTGCTTCCCCTGCATGCCCGCTCCCTGGCCTGAACCCTGGGCTGCCTCCAGGCTCCACAGGCCTCATTGCAGAGTGGAGGGCTGAGAGGTCAGTTTGCTGAGGGTGGGCCTGGTGCTCAGCCTGCACCACCCCCTGCCCCCCAGACCCCCCTGTATCTTGCCTCTCAAGATAGTGGGCAGCTGCCCAGAAAGTCTAGGTGCCAGAGGAGCCTTGGGCAGGGAGGGCAAGAAACTCGGAATGGAAGGAGGTGCCGGGGTCTGAGAGGGGCACAGGGCAGGGAGGAGGCAGCAGGAGGCAGAGAGGGCGGCTCTGGTCTGACCTGGAAGGCTGAGCTGGAGGTTTCCAGCATCAGGGTTCTGCCCGGAACCCAGGGAGCTCCTGTGTTCTCTGGAAAGCTGGGCAGTGGGCAGGAGGGAGTAGCCAAGGTGTGTCCTGTGGTTCCAGGGAGGAGGCAGACGACATAGCAGTGGGTCAGGGGTTCCTTCCTTCAACATCACAGGGCCAGGATCCAGCCTAGCCTGCTCTTCTTGGGAGCCTGGGTGCAGGCACCTGCCTCCCTCCCTCCTTCCCACCAGCCCCCACCTGCCTCAGCCCGTGTCATCCTTTGATTAACTGGAAAACAG